TTTGAAGTTAAAAGCGATATGTTTGGGAGATTTACTTTGCGAAGTTGGGAGACAAGCGTCTTCAAATACTTCAAATACTTCTACTCTCCAACACCTCATACGTACTTTGGTGAAGAAATGCAAGCAAGGTCCCATCTCTCCTCGGGCTTACTCATTATCTTCGCCATGCGTTCTTGACAGAACATTCCAATCCGACATTGATGAGGACTCGGATCCGAGGAGATGATTGTCGCTAGTATCGGATCTCGCACAAGCGATGACAGAATTAATGGTCAAGACTGGAGTGTTTTGAGCCAAAATCTCGATGGCAGTTCTTTCTTCCTCTTTGATTTGATATCTCTTGCAGCAGGTGGAGATAGGGCTTCGATTATGCATAAAGGGTGATGACGCGGCTGCTTCACACGGAATGCCATCCCACCATTTTCGGGACCGAAGCGCTGTCGACGACGGATTAACTCAATAATCTTTGATAATGCACGCCACAAGTCAAGTGACAGCGCAAGTGATCAAATAAATTCAGTTTAATCCTACAATTTCGATAGTTCTGCTTTTCTCGGCCCAACAAAGCCAAAGAGATATGCAGCAATTTTTCTCATTTGTATCTCCTCACTGCCTTCCGTAATCCTGTACCGACCTGCGAAAGTTAGCAAGGAATTAACTGCAAGTTGAGATTTACTCACGATGGTGTCTGTATATATGCTCGAAGCTGCGAAAATGTCAGATAGCACGAGCAGGAAAGCATTAGTCAACTTACGGCTTGTGTCTCGAATAGCCAATTCCACCTACTTTTGTCAACAACTTTCCAATATGCAACTATATCTCAACGTACCATGAACTTGCATTGCTCGATCTGCTGCTTGGGTACACAAGCGATTTCCCCAGTACTGCTTTTTGTCAGCGACTTCTCTGTAAAACTTTCAATGTTCTCACATTGCACATTGAGACCTTGTCTCCCAAATCTCTCTCGATCTCTTTCTGTGTCATCTTATCCATCTCGGTAGCAGTCTTCAAAATCAAAAGTTGCAGCATCTCGGCTTGTGTAGCAAGTTCCACAAGCGGGAACTGGATGCCTTGATTCGAGGCCAGCTCTTTGCCAAACGGCTTCCTGGTTCGAGCATACTTGACACTTTCCTCGATGCAATACATCGCTGCACCAAGAGAGCTTGCAGCTTGCCTCAACCTATTCTCATGTACGAATGTCTGAGCAATGGGTGCGTCGCCCTATGCATCCCACTAATCCACATCTTCCCCCCATTAATCACCCACCCGTCCTCCCCTCCTTTCCCCTTCTTCCTCTCCGCAAACGTACTCATATGCGTAGCATCACTCCCATGTCCCCTCTCCGTCAACCCAAACGCCAACCCTACTCTCCCCTCCAGCCTCCCCTTGATAAACCTTTTCTTCTGTTCCACAGTCCCAAATTCTCTCACCATCAACACATCCGGAAAGTTCCCCACGATGCTGCGTCGCCCTATGCATCCCACTAATCCACATCTTCCCCCCATTAATCACCCACCCGTCCTCCCCTCCTTTCCCCTTCTTCCTCTCCGCAAACGTACTCATATGCGTAGCATCACTCCCATGTCCCCTCTCCGTCAACCCAAACGCCAACCCTACTCTCCCCTCCAGCCTCCCCTTGATAAACCTTTTCTTCTGTTCCACAGTCCCAAATTCTCTCACCATCAACACATCCGGAAAGTTCCCCACGATGCTATGCTCATTCTGTAAATCGTTGAAGAGGCCGAGTCCTTTTTTCGCGAGATGGATTCGGATGACTGCCATCCAGAGATTACCGCCGTTCTGACCTCCATATTCGGTTGGGAGGCAGAATCGGTAGAATCCTGCTTTATCTGCTAATTGACGGGATTCAGAGAGGAGGGCTTCCCAGTCTTCGGTGGGGAGACCGCCTTTATCCCAATCGGTTCGGGAGTGCTCGCGGCGATGGTCGAAGAAGCGTTTATTGTCATTTGAGTTTTGGAGGGGCGTGATGGTACTTGTGATGAAGCTATCTAGGTCTTTGAGGTATTGGAGGAGGGAGGGAGGGAGGGCGAAACTCATAGCTCCGTGGGAAGGGTTTGGAGACATTGTTAAATTTGGGTTTGTAAATGAGGACTATGATCAGAAAAGTATACTAACTGTGAATATATTGGATGGTTAGAAGTAGCACAAGTTGAGCTCTAGAGCCATGGCTAGATGTTGTTGAAGTTGAAGAGTGTGAAATATCAATGGCGGGGTAGCTCAATGCGGGGTACCGAAGCGCCTCGGGATCAGCGCCAGAGTCGTCCAAACTGATGATGAAGAGATCCTGCAAACCCTGAGGCACTGTAACCTTGGCACAATTTTGGTATGAGAATAGTGATAAAAACTTTGCTGAATTGAGAGGAAATTCTGCGGCTCGATGATATCCATCCGATGTCTAAATCTTCGCCCATGAACTCCTCAATGGGAATAATGCTATCGCCCCCACAGTACGCCTTTAGATGCATCTTATCCCATCATAAATCTGCCCGACAAATACCAGATCAAGCCTTTACAGCTTCGCCTTCAGTTCCCCATCGTTTAGCTTCGTCCCCCAAGCTCCAATCTTTCTCAACATAGCCCAGCTGCTGCTTGACCTTCTCAACTGTCTTCTTGTCGCCAGTATTCTTCCCGATGTTATCACTGATTTTAATTGCTTCGTTGCCAGCAGCGGAGCTCAATTTGATGACAATGTTGAGAGGCGTAGATTTCGTGCCAGTGTTCTTATGCACGAAATCATTCGTGAAGAATGTCCCGACACCGAAGGAACAATCGAATCCAGCTTCCTCGGAAATCTTCTTGTATTCCAGACAGAGGTCGATGTTGAGAGAATCCGAGAAGACGATGGTCTTCTTTCCCTTAATCCCAACCTTGTCGTAAAATTCTCGCATTATCTTCACGAAATTGGCTGGGTCGCCAGAATCTTGTCGCACGCCAGTGAAGACCTCTGCGAACGTCCTCGGTTTTTCCTTGTTCTTAACTGTTCCTGTCGCCTCTACGGTTGGGTCCGCCTCGCCATCCGCGATTGGTTGAATTGGCTCGTTGAAGGCCTTTAAGAAGACTGGAGTACCGAATGTATCTGTCAGAGCGATGCCCAAAACACCTTCTCCAAAGCAGCCAACCCAGTAGCTGAGCGCAGTCCTGGTCGCAGTCTCGTAGTTGCCAGTGATGGCTGCTACACCCATAAACCATTCGTGCGCGACCGTCCCAATTGGTGGAATGCCGAACCTCATAGCCAAGTGAACATTACTTGTTCCAGAAATCTTTCCTGGCAGCTTTTGCTCTTCGCCACGCTTCTTGGCTTTGACAAGACCTCGGAAGACGAGTGCTTGGGTATGGTAGTCTCTTCTCCTTCTTGTGCCGAACTCGGATACTACGCAGCCAGCTTCCAAAAGTCGCATGCCCTTGTCGAGAGCTTTCTCTTCCTGTCCATCGTATGTCCAGTCTGTGTCCATAAATCGGAAGTAGGCCTCACTTGTCAGAGCAAGCAGTGGTATTTCGTAGAGAATTGTTTCCACCCACTTGCCCTTTACGACGAGGTCAACCTCTCCAATGTCATCGTCGCTACCAGTATCGGTGCTTGGCGTGAACGAGGCTTTGACTTGTTCGCGAGGATTGAGTCGGAACTCTTTGAGGAAATCAAGGTAGGGTTTGTTCAGGTATGTGCAGGTCGTTTGCAGGAATCGTAATTCATCATTTGAGAGGGCAATGTTCCCGAGCTCTGTTGTAATGTCAGTGAATGCTTTGCGCGAGGCTGAGAGAGACTCACTATTAATTTGAATCTGCAGCCACCGAAACGCAGCTCTAGATAACTTCTTCTCTGGCGTTCTATTCTTGAACGCATAGCTGACTTGCACATCTGGGAAGTATTTCAAGACTGCGCATTGCATAGTCAATTTGTAGAGATCAGTGTCGAGGAAGGAGATGACTCCCTCTGGGAAGGGGTTGGAGCCGTTGAAGTCCATTGTTGCTAATGATAGAGAGAGTAACGAGTGAGGGTGGGAGAAGCTTCACCTAGTTATGGAATTGTGACAAAGACGCGTGTCCAGCTATGCATGAGTAAACCATGAGAAAAGGAAGAAGGTTTGCGGGTCGTGATTAGATAGCAAGCATCCCGCGCTAAACCGGCCCTAGCGCGGGGTTCTGCATACTGCGGTGGGATAGGGCAAGGCGTTTACCACATTACGAGTAATCAGGAACTTCATTGATACTGTAACTGATATATATATATGCAAAAGTTCAAGCCGGTCATTCACCAAATTACGCTGTCGGTAAGGAGGGTTCAGAGTCACGAAACCAGAAAAAGCCTCATATATAGCGAGGAGTTATTTTATATAGCTCAGCTGCAACAGCCCTAAATGTAACAGCAAGTAAAGTAAACCCAATAATGGTAAGGTAATGCATTACTGCTACATAAGGTGGTGTGGAGGATTTGGTCATGATGGCGGAACAACATTTCTCCGGTCCCGGTGCCCTGCCACTCCCTTGCAGCCAGAAACCCCAGCTCTTTGTTTGTTGGGTAATTCAGCCAAGATGAACTTGCTCAAAAGCTGATCAGCTTCACCAGTTCATAGAATTATTGTATTTGCATGGGAGATACCGTTTTGTGTTGAAAGTGATTGGCGGAAAATCCTACAAAAATCAAGCCCGGTCGAATATGATTGATACAAATTGATACAGCCTATGGATAGCTCAAATAGGCTCCATTTGAGACGAAATATAAAATTGAAGAGAGCTAGTTCCAATGAAATGCCAAGCCTTTACCAAATCCCTGGAATACACCAAGCGACTGGCTCCTATTGCAGAAGTTCCAGCTCAAAGATTTCGCCTTGAATTTTGGCCCAAGCTTATATAAACCTCGCCAAAGTTCTGCAAGCACTAGTCCATTTAAGTCGATTAATCTTCGCTTAAGCAACCCCACCAAAAAAGAGAGTGTGTGCTCTTTGAGCGCTTCAAGGAGCAAAACATCAAAAAAAGCTCAATGACCAACGCCGGGATCGAACCGGCGACCTGCTGCGTTATGAGGAGTGCTCTGAAGCTCTCCATGTAAAGCAGACGTGATAACCACTACACCAGTCGGCCTGAGAAAGTGGGATGAAAGGGAGGTTTTCAACCTATCATAATGGTGAAATTTTCTGCTTATTTAAATCTATACAGGTGTTTTTACATGACTCATGAACACCCGAATCATGGCCCACCAAGGACCAATCATTTTTGCTTCTTTCATTCCGATGGTGTGCCGGTTTCACCCGATGTTGAGGTCATTCCTCGCTTAGCGAATGTATAGGGGGCGAAGCGAGCAATGACTGACTTTGTGTTGCACTTCTTGCTGTGTAACAATCTTGACATCTTAATGACATCTTTGATGTGTAATCCTGAGCAGGTGTTGACAAGCATCAAACCTGCAAACGCCTCTGTTTGTGGTCGGGGATCATAGCATTCCGGCTCAGGGCACGTGATTCTTTAATATAACACAGACTCGGATTCCGTCGGGTTCTCTACTGGGAGTATTCTTTACAGGTACAATATTACATATCACAAAATCTGTATCTTCCAACTTTTGTCCCCAAACTTTGAAGTTATATCTATACCTTGTTCCTTCTCCAGCGTCTTCAATCTCCTAGCCTTGCCTAGGACATTCATTGCTCATTTCTTCTGGAGAAAACATTTCGTCGGCTTGAACAGTAGCGTTAGCTTAACAATTCGCTGAACAACTACTTTCGATCGAACGAGCTGGACTTCGAGGCTATCGTCCACCCTTCATATTGGAATAGATGTGACATGATTGCGGCTATGCACCTTCATGTATCGTTCTTTTTCGTTGTACCCATAGACAATCTCGACTTTACTAATAATCCTATGAGGAAACTCCCGCTGATCAGACGGTAGGATGAAGCATGAACGTACCATGTAGTTGTCGACTGATGTCGCTGGCAAAGCTTCTATGGGTTCTAATCAATACCTTCAAGTAAAGTTTTTTGGCTTTTAAAAGAACAAGTCAGCCGTTGCGGACCTTATGCCTCACTCTTCGACAAAACTCAGCAGACCAGAAGGAGTTATGGTCGTCCATACTAGAGGAGTTACTAGTAGCCTCCCGACGTATAGAAAAAGCGACACCGAGCAAGCCTATCATTGTCCTGAAACCGGTAGGACTTTGAGAATAAGCATGGAACTGAGCTTCGAAAAACATATAATAAGATTTCAGGGCGAGCCGGCCCCATCTGATCGATTGCCTTAACTAGCTCGTTTTTAAATCCTAGTCTTAACAAATGTCCCCGACTTTCTGGGACTTTGGTGTGTCGACTTTTTTGAACATGGCGAGGCAGCTCGATGCAAGGGTTACTGGTTTGGAAAACCTCGCTGTCCTCTTTATGCAAGGTGCAGAATGAGGGATAGTGGGGAGGTTCGATAAGACACGCAGTGATCAATACACTCGGGCGAACGAGGTACACCGGATTTCGTCTGGCGATGGAGATCCCTTTCATGGAAAAGTCTGTAAACAACTCATGTAAAGTTTGAACTTTTTCTGGAGGGAAAACGAATTCACGACGACGAAGTTCGAATTCCGATGGTGCGTCAATAAGGACAGAGTAGACTTGCCGCAAGAGGGATATAACTCAACTTTGATTCAATTTCATAAATCATTCATTAGGTTGGGATTATGACTGGCCAATTACTTTAGTCGAGTTATTCACGTCGAAATTTGGAAAAGGATAGAAGATTGACGGTAGGCGACATTTGAGCAATATCTAGAAGATCAAACCACAGCCTGAAAGTCCTAAGTGTGCAAGACATAAGCAGAGACGCCAGTAAACATTTCAAACATCATTCCCGGCCATATCCATCTATTTCTTTGCCTTCGACCCAGACTCCCGATCGTTTTCGAGGACCTCTTTGAGTTCTGGCGTGACGGTCTTCAAAGTTCTCAATTTCCCAGCTTCGCCGGCACTGCCCGTAGACCACTTTCCGTGAACAAGGGCAATGGTTGGCCAAGACCAGGAGACGTTACTGTAGTATCTTAGCCTTGCCTAGCCCCCTTGGTTGTCCTGAACAGGCTGGGAGATTGAAAATGCTTATAGGTTTTCGACACTGGTTTTTCACTATCGTTCGCCAAACCGGCCCTGCTTTTGCTTTCGGTCTACGTAGCTAACTATCCTTACCAAAGGCCAGCAGCCTGACCTGAGGAATTCTTCGCTGCGAAAGCCAGAAGCCGCCATCAGGCCCCAACTGCAACCAGGGACCAAATTTCTGCAAATGCGCTTCTGGCAGCTTAGCTGAATTGAAGCATGCCGAATGGTGGACAGCGCTAAACAAAAGGTCTATAAAGATAGTGCTGACTTTATGTTAGATAATCTCTGGGTAGACATGTCTAACGGTGGCAGGGATTTTGATGAAATGCTGGTGCATGAGCTTGAAGCGGATGAAATTCTGTTCTTCGTTGTGGTGTGTCGGGACTGGGAAACCGGTGGCGATCAGTGCAATAGCCTTCTTCTGCGAAGCACAGTCCTTCCATTCTGTACAAAGTGAGTGGTTAGTGGCGTTCATTTGGTTTCGTCTAGAATTCCTCACCTTGAGCCTTGGCATCACAAAGGAGGAAGATTCCTTTGGGCGGATCTGAAGGCTAGACTGCCATTGCTGTAAAGTCGTAAACAGCACCCGGAGTCTCCATGACGGTGTAATGAAAAGATGGGCTCTCGGCCCGGTGGTCTGATTTCTCATGCTGCAGCCCGACCCGATGTGAGAAGCCGTACACTTGAGTCATACCACCATACACCTCCGTGTGCTTGCCGGTGATAGTGGTGGCTCCTACTTCGGGGAAGTCGAAGCATATGCCGTGTGCTTGCTAGTGGTCTCGGACGGAGGGGAACCAGGATTTCTGATCTTGCTAGCCGCGGCCGTAGATTATCAGTGAAGGCAACTTGTCGTGCCCTCCCTTAAAGATCTCTTCTGCGAGCGACTCTGCCTTCCTTGTCTGTAGTAGAAATTCGACTTCGGCTTGCACATCTACTCGACAAGTTAGTAGCATGCAAGAGATAATGCAAGAATTGGAAAGAAGAGCTTTACGTTATGGCTAAATGTGGCTCTTGATTGGCTTGAGATATTGGACGATTGAAGCAAGACACTCGGCTTTCAATTCTTTTTGGCAATGTGAGGAAACCGACCTCAATATGGCTGGTGATTGCCAAGAGACTCGGACGGCCCAGTCCTTGTTGTTCTGCTAACTGCGCCCGTAGAATAATCGATTCAGGCAGCCTCTAGTGCCAGCCATTAAACACTTCTTGCGCCAGTTCATGTAAATCCTCCGTGCGGAGTAGAAATTCCTCGCGCTGACCCGCGTCCGTCGAGAATACTTGAAGAATGCTCTCAGGTATGGGGACCCAGTGCGTTTCCAATTCTGGTCTGGGTCGTTGGAGATGTTGGAGATGTTGAGCTGTTTCAATGGAAATATTCGACAACCTTACTAGTTCTGAATTTGAGTTGCTGACGATACACTGGACTCAGTAGCCTTTGTCCCGAGACCGGACGTCTCTGAAAATCCCAATTGTTCGGGACATTGGCGAGACTTTTTCGTTGCACGTCGCAGGCCACCGAAGCGAGATTCTAAAATCTAACAACTTTTTGTAACTGATAAGAAATGAAAAAATGTTAGGAAACTGATAAGGACTTTCAGTGGCTAGTCTGTATAGTTAGTTCATGTGCAGGAATGCCTCAACTGATATAGGGATAGGGACATACCCTCTGTCGTGGATAGAGAGCCGTCGGGCAATTTCATCAATTTTTGTCCATTTTGCTGTTCCTGAACGTTGGCCTGATCCTTTATGCCACGCGATCGAGTCTGTAGCAGGAGTCAACAACTGCATTTGTGACCTGTAGCATTTCCTCCTGAGCCATAGTATTGGTAGTACCATCATCTGTTGGAGTTATAGAGGATGATCTGGACTGCTGGCTCTTACGAATAAGGTTATCCGAGGAGTCCGAAGCAAAAAAGTCGTGTTTGCCGTGATGATAGCTGGATCTGGGACCGGCCTCGAACTTCTCTCCGTTCTGACCAACATCGCGAGAAAGCGCGTAATTGTTTTCTCCTTGTTGTTGACTTTCGTTGCTCTCGGACCTCAAAGAAGCAGGCTCTTGTTCGCGGGAATGCTGAGGACTACGACCAGGGTTGATGCAATGATTGGGATTAAAGGCGGCGGTCATCTATCAACAATTAGCATCGGAATTGGTCTTCTTCATCTTAGGTACTCACAGTAACAAGATTGAGCTGACGGCATGGTCTGCGTCTTGTGGATGGTCTTGAACTCGCCTGTATTTAGAAGTTGGGAAGAAGATGATGTTAGGAGAGACGCTCACCTGCGTAGAGGCTAGCGTAGGCCGAGCGTAGAAGAGAAGAACACAATTGGTGATTGCCATGTCAATCACTACTCATATCCAAGCATTTGGAACCTCTAAAGAGAGAAGAGGTCTCGAGTCTGAAGTGTTGCCAGGGTCAAATGTCCTCGTCCGCGATGAATATTCAAACCATCAAGCAAAATGAAGATAACGATCGCCAAAGTTCCGTTGAACGCAAAGGGCACGATTGAGAAAGAAAAAGGGAAGAGAAGGATGGCTTCGATTTGAATCGGAACCCATCATAGTCAGTCACTAGACGAACCCGATGTGTCGCAAAATCGCGGGGAAAAATAGCAAGAATATGCATGGACCTCACGTTGTAAAGTTTCCTCGTGCTCGAAATTTCGTCTTACCGATTTGACTGCACCATACCCAAGTGCTTCATGACTTCCCAGCAATCAGCTCCCTTTCCCCTCCTCAACATCCTTCAACAAGTCCTCCCTCCCCTTTCCTTCACCCTCCACACTCTTCCTCATACAGGCCACAGCACCAAACCCGACACATCCCATCATAGACGGACCAACCACGAACAAAATCTCCTTAATCTTAACTCCCATGACCAGCACAACCGTATACACAGCTCCCATCATCAACAGCATAACCCAAGCCCCCAGTGTCATATGTCTCCAATGTCTTTCTCCTCTTGGATTCGCGCCCATCAGGAACATCGCTATGACCATCGCCCCACCTAA